ACAGTGACCATCAGAAGGCGTCACCTATTACTGCGTCCGGCACGGTGCTAAGGCATCGCATGCCAGATCTCAGTCCTTGTAGCTCTAGGAGGTAGGCACTACTTCTATTCCTGGACAGTAAAAGGTCCAGGCCCGGCAGGGTGGGGCAGGATGGGGCCAGCAGGCTCAAATGAGGACCGCGTGGGCTGTTGTTGAGCAGTTCTGACAGTGTGTTTACTGTTTGGCCGCCGGGGTCAGCTGCTCCGGGAGCGGTGCCTGGAGCTGCCACCAGGTGGCATCTCCGCTCGGTACCGCCGGGGGGAGGGGAGACCAGGGGCATCTGTCCCAAGAGCTGGCCCACAGGCCAGGAGGAGCCAAAAGCCTGGGTCCCGTGCATGGAGATAGCAGACGCTGGGGTGCCAGATACCGAGACCCACGAGGGAAAGGAGGCAGAGCCAGGGATATGGGGTGTGACTGACACCATGTCCAGATAGAGAATGGTTGACGCCCTTCATTTCTAAATGATTCCTTTCTTCCCCTGTGGCAGAAATTTGAAAAGAAATTTCAGTCTGAGAAGGCAACAGGCTCGGTGTCCAAGAGCACGCAGTTTGAGTACGCCTGGTGCCTGGTGCGGAGCAAGTACAATGATGACATCCGTAAAGGCATCGTGCTGCTTGAGGGTGAGGCGCTGTTCTCTCCCCTTCCCGCTGCCATCTGGGCTGCTGTACGATGTGGGCCCCGGTAGTCCAGGCACCTCTCAGTTGTCTCCCGTAGATTTACTGCACCAAGGGCTATACTTAGCTTGACGTCTCCCAGTGAACTTTTGGCTACTTACCGCCCGCCATTGTTTTGCCAGACGGAGTCGTAGCTTGTCATTTCCCCCAGGACTATCTTGATCTGGGAAAGTGACTTGAGGTCACGCAACTAATAAGTTCATGGCTGAATTGGGACTAGAAGCTCCCGTTTTGTGAGACCTAGGCCCATGCCCTTCCCCCCAACACCACCACCGTGTTGCTTAGTTAGCAGCTATTGAGAATCTTTTGTGGCATGGAAGAGGCCCAGAGGACTGTCCTACAAAACTGTGAGCACATAGTGCTTTTTGTTTTTTTTGTTTGAGACGGAGTCTTGCTCTGTCCTCCAGGCTGGAGTACAGTGGTGCTGTCTCAGCTCACTGCAGCCGCCCCCTCCCGGTTCAAGCAATTCTCCTGCATCAACAACAGGCGCCCACTACCATGCCCGGCTAATTTTTGTATTTTTAGTAGGGACAGGGTTTCACCTTGTTGGTCAGGCTGGTCTCGAACTCCTGACCTCAGGTGATCTGCCCACCTCGGCCTCTCAAAGTGTTGGGATTACAGGCGTGAGACACCGCGTCCAGCCAGATAGTGCTTTTTGGATTGGACCCCTATTTCCCATTGGTTTTGTGTGGGTCATCATTTGTCAGAGACCACAATACTTAACCACTTAATTTCTCTATACCTCCTTTCTTTTGTTCAAGTAATCATTTATAAGCACACAGTCAGTGTACAGCCATCCCTCTGTAGCCATGGGGGATTGGTTCTAGGAACCCTGCCCCACAAATACCAATAGCCATCCAAGTCCCTTATATAAAATGGTGTGGTATTTACATGTAACCTGTGCACCTTCTCCTACATACTTTCAATCATCTGTAGATTACTTATAATACCAAATACAATGTAAATGCTGTGTAAATAGTATACTGTATTGTTTAGGGAATAATGGCAAAAAAAAAAAAGGTCTGTTCATGTTCAGTACATATGCAACTATCTTTTTTTTTTTCCCTGAGTATTTTTGATCCATGTTCGTTGAATCCATGAATACAGAATGCCAACTGTGCTAGCAAAGGATGCCTATTGAAAATCTATAAAAATGGCCGGGCGCAGTGACTCACACCTGTAATCCCAGCACTTTGGGAGGCCAAGGCAGGCCGATCACGAGGTCAGGAGTTCAAGACCAGCCTGATCAACATGGTGAAACCGTCTCTACTAAAAATACGAAAATTAGCTGGGCGCGCACCTGTAATCCCAGCTACTCAGGAGGCTGAGGCAGGAGAATCACTTGAACTCGGGAGACAGGTTGCAGTGAGCCAAGATCACGCCATTGCACTCCAGCCTGGGCAACAGAACGAGACTCTGTCTCAAAGGAAAAAAAAAATCTATAAAAGATTCTTTCTTAAAAGATACAAATAATTTTACCCTATGTTTGTCTACTTCGGCAATTCAGATTTTCAGGTTTATTCTACAGCAGGGTGTAGCTGTAGAAGAAACAGCCTGTCTAAGTGAGTATCAACAAATTCTAGTGCATAGAGTACAGTTATCCTCTGGGAAGTCTCTGAATTAAGAAAGTTAGGTGGGGCCAGGCACTGTGGCTCATGCCTGAGAAGGTAAGGCCAGAGGATGGCTTGAAGGCAGGAATTCGAGACCATCTGGCCTGTCTCTATAACAAAAATTTTTAAATTAGCCAGGCGTCGTGGTGTGTGCTTATAGTCCCAGCCACTTGGGAGGCTGAGGCAGGAGGATCAGTGACCCCAGGAGTTCGAGGCTGCAGTGAACCATGGACGTGCTACTGTGCTCCAGACTGAGTGACAGAGCAAGACGCTGTCTCCTTTTTTTTTTCCCCAAGACAGAGTTTCACTCTTGTTGCCCAGGCTGGAGTGTGCAATGGCGCAATCTTGGCTGACCACAACCTCCGCCTACTGGGTTCAAGCGATTCTGTTGCCCCACCCTCCTGAGTAGCTGGGATTACAGGCATGTGCCAACACGCCCGGCTAATTTTGTATTTTTAGGAGAGACGGGGTTTCTCAGTGTTGGTCAGGCTGGTCTCAAACTCCCAACCCCAGGTGATCCGCCCGGCTCAGCTTCCCAAAGTGCTGGGATTACAGGCGTGAGCCACCGCTCACAGCCAACCCTGTCTCTTTAGAAAAAAAAAAAAAAAGGAAGGAAGACAAAGTCAGGTGGGGTCTTTGGGGAAGGCTGATTGAAGGCAAGTTTTGAGCTATTTTTGTAAAGGGGGATTTTTTTTAACAGTAATTGGACAGCAGGCAGTTTAGTTAAAACCACAACAGCAGCACTTTGGGAGGCCGAGGCAGGCAGATCACTTGATGTCAGGAGTTTGAGACCAGCCTGGCCAACATGGTGAAACTCCATCTCTACTGAAAATACAAAAATTAGCCCGGCGTGGTGGCAGGCACCTGTAACTCCAGCTGCTTGGGAAACTGAGGCAGGAAAATCGCTTGAATCTGGGAGGCGAAGGTTGCAGTAAGCCGAGATCACGCCATTGCACTCCTGCCTGGGCGACGAGTGAAACTCCGTCCAAAAAAAAAAACACAGCAGATGCCAAAACTGAGTCGTGCTGCCTTTGGCTTCTCCAGGGCCCCAATTTCCTCATTTCGGTTGGATGGACCAGTTGACTGTAATGCTGCTAAAGGGATGTTCTGTCACTGGTGTTGGGGCAGCTGGGGTTCACCCTGCTCCAGAGCTCTGGCTAGTGTGCTGGGAGTGACTGGATCTGAAAGGGAGACTTAGGACCGTGACCCTCCCAGGATCACAGAGGCATTCAGAGAGTGCAAGGGGCCTCTGGGACACAGTATTAGGAAAGTATTAGGAAAGAAGCATTTCTCACCCTCTTCTCTGCCCCTCCCCAGAGCTGCTGCCCAAAGGGAGCAAGGAGGAACAGCGGGATTACGTCTTCTACCTGGCCGTGGGGAACTACCGGCTCAAGGTGAGATGGGGCCCCAGTTCCCTTGACCCTCCTCTGGGGCTACAGGACCTTCTTACTACGTCCTCCAGGGTGGATCCCTGGACAGCAGGAAGGCTGAAGGGGTGCAGATGTGCAGAGCGGTGTCAGATGAGGACTCTAAGGGAAGATCAGAGTGGCGAGGGTGTGGGGAGGAAGGTGACGTCAAGAGATTGGGTGCAGGCCCCAGCCTTGCACTGTTATCTCCCGCAGAGTTGGGGTTGTTTGTGGACTCTACTCTGTGGGGTGGGGCTGGAGGGAGGGAGGGGGTGGAGGTCGAGGGAGGAGCCCCCAGGGCTGAAGAAGGGAAGGCCCTTCAAGTGGGCAGGAGGAGTGGTGGATACTGAGGTGTAGCTGGCCTGGTGGCTCACACCTGTAATCCCAGCTACTCAGGAGGCTGAGGCGGGAGGACTGCTTAAGCCTGGGAGTTTGAGGCTGCAGTGAGCTGTGATTGCGACGCTGCCCTCCAGCTGGGGCAACAGAGCAAGACCGCATCTCTTATTTTAAAAAAACTGCTGAGGTGTGTTTGAAGCGTGCATGTTTCCCCGAGTGCAGGAATACGAGAAGGCCTTAAAGTATGTCCGCGGGTTGCTGCAGACAGAGCCCCAGAACAACCAGGCCAAGGAACTGGAGCGGCTCATTGACAAGGCCATGAAGAAAGGTGACAGCCTCGGCCCCTTTGTTCAGCCCCGCTCTTCCCCATGCCTGGACGCTTTGGTCTCTCTGTAAATGAACCCCTGCAGGCAGCCCCTCAGCCCTGCCCCTTCCAGTCCTTAGAGCCCCTTGCCCTGCGACTCCAGGTAGGGGTGTGCCTCCGTTGAGGAGCAGGGCTGGCGGAAGGGGACGGGCTCCTGACACTGTCCCTTTCCTTCCCCAGATGGACTCGTGGGCATGGCCATCGTGGGAGGCATGGCCCTCGGTGTGGCGGGACTGGCCGGACTCATCGGACTTGCTGTGTCCAAGTCCAAATCCTGAAGGAGGCGTGGGAGCCCGTGGAGAACGCTCCAGGAGGGCCCATCCATCCTCGCTGTCCCTTCCCTGTTCTCCCCCTGCACCCCTGTCTCTGTCCTCTGTGGCCTTCAACTAACTTCTGCTCCCCTGAGACCCGTTCTTCAGCCCCAAATCATGTGCTTTGGGATGAGTGTAAATAAAACGGGGCTGTGGCTTGGGAACCCCCGTGTCTGCATTGAGGGGAGGGGTGGGTTCTGAACGCTGGGCACAGGGGGCGGAGGTGTCACTCCTGGTCCTCTCCTGCCCCTGCCCTCCAGGTTGGCACGGGGTTCTTTGTCCACTGCGCAGCCCAGAGCCCACACCCCTCCTTCCTCCCTTTCCTGAAGCCACGTCCTTGAGGGTGCCGGGCAGCTCGGAGACACGGGGCTTTTCTCTGGTCCCAGAGTTGTGGGCGGAGGCAGTGACTGGAGCAGGGGTGGGCAGAACTGCGGGGTCAGGCCGGGCTTCAGGCCTGCGTTCTCCTCTGACCCACTCAGCTGCCTCTGTGGACTTTCCATAGCAAGCCCCCTTGGCTTCCTCCTCCCCGCCCTCCCCTCTCCTCCCTTTTTCTTCCTGTGGCCTCCCCTTCCTCCTACCTCCTCCTCCTCCGGGGATGGGGGGGGCCCGGTGGGGGAAGGAATCCTGCATCTGGTATGGAGTAGGCGGGGGTCCTGGGAGGGGTCAGAGCCCAGGACGCCCCAGCTCTCGCCTGTGGGCTGGAAGGTCAGGACTCCGCCCCACCTGGCCAGTTTCGCCCCCTCGTGCCAGGCTCAGCATGGGCCTGTTTTGCTTCACTGCATACCTCTCGTTCCACAGCCCAGGCCAACTCAGCCAGGAGTGGGGAGGAGACACCTGAGGGGAGGCCAGAGAAGCCCAGTAGGGCTGTGGGACCAGGGAGGTGTGCAGCCAGCACTGATGGCCCCCAGGGACAGAGCCCTGGGGAACTGGAGCAGGAGATAAGAGTGTCCACCCTGGGACAGGTGCTCTGCACTGGCTCGGGATGGGAACCCAGAGGCTGCTAATCCATCATCATTAATGAATAGAGTGGGTGACAGTCCCGATAACTGGGAACAGGTTGCAGAGCTTAGCCACAGGATCACGCTCCAGGCTCTTGGCAGCAGGACCAGCTCGATGCTGAGTCAAAGATCAACTTAGGAGGAAATTCGAGTTTTGGGCGAGAGCGACTCCCTGGTGGCCTCACTCAGCCCTGCGGCACTCACATCCAGGACAGTCCCGGGTGCTGAGCGCTGGTTATGTGCAGGGGGCTTGACTCCCTGGTCCCAACGAGGTCTTAGTGTGTTGCCCAGGCTGGTCTTGAACTCCTGAGTTAAAGTAGTCCTCTCAGCCCAGCCTCCCAAAGTGCTAGGATTACAGGCGAGAGCCACTGTGCCTGACCCCTGGTCCCAGTTCTCAGGATAGCCCATGCAGTAAGCAGTCGGGTCTGTCATTGACAGAGCAGAAGCAGGCTCAGGGGACTAACACTCCCTGTCTGAGTTGCCTGGTGAATGGATTGTGGGGCCAAGTTCCAGTCCAGGCTGGATGGAGCCCAGAGCTATGGGTCTCCCAGCTTCCCGTCCCCTCATTCCAGCTTCATCTTCCTTAAGAGACTCACATGCCCCAAACCCTCAGTCTGCGAGTATCTTAGATTGTTCTCATGGTCCCTCCATCCTTCTCCACTGAAGGCTGCTGTTCATTCTCTCTGTCTCTGTCCCTTGTTGCTCTCACGTCTGTCTCTATCATCTTTTCACTCCTTGTCCCTCTTACTCCGTTCTCTGGCCCCCAATGAAAGCTGAGTCAGACAGATGCTTCCCCTCAGTTCCCAGTACCTCCCTTGGGGGCCCCTCGTTGGCTGTATCGTCAGTGGCTCCAGGGTAAGTCTGCCCCCCCACCCTCGTGGGGCGGGGAGCCCGGGGCAGCCCAGAGGCTGGGGGGAGGGGGTGGACTTTTGGCCCGTTTCGGTTATTCCCTCCATCTCGTCAACAGCTGCCGCGCGCAGGCTTAGCTCATTCCTCTGACCTGCCAGGAAGCAGAGAAACCCAGAGAGCGGGAGGGAGGCAGAAACCTGGAGGCAGAAAGTGGAGACGGACCTGAGCCCGAGGAAGACGCAGGCAGAGGCCGTGGCTGATTCCACCCCAGCCTGCCCAGACAACTCTCCTTAGCCGCAGCCCCGTCCAGTTCCCTAGGGGTTCTGCCCCTCCCCCTCTCTGGGGCACCAGCCCCCCAGGGCCCTGCATCCCACCATGTCGATGGCTGTGGAGACCTTTGGCTTCTTCATGGCAGCTGTGGGGCTGCTGATGCTGGGGGTGACTCTGCCAAACAGCTACTGGCGAGTGTCCACCGTGCACGGGAACGTCATCACCACCAACACCATCTTCGAGAACCTCTGGTTTAGCTGTGCCACCGACTCCCTGGGCGTCTACAACTGCTGGGAGTTCCCGTCCCTGCTGGCCCTCTCTGGTATGGGGTGGGGAGCGCTCCAGGGGGAGAGGGCGGCGGGGAAAAGCTGCAGAGACCCCAGGGGAGGGCGGGTACTGCCGTGAGGATGCAGGGAGCCCTGGATTAAGCTCTGGGGGTCTGGGTTCCTGCAGCCAGGAGTGCTGGGGACAGCCCCTGCCTAGAACTGGAGTGAAGACCTTGCCACACGTGGCCCCCTGTGCTAGAGTGGCGCTTTTAGCTGTTACAGGTGCAGGCACCGGAATCAGACCCCCTTTCCCAGCCCTGTGCTGTGGGCAAATGATGAAACCAGCCTCATCTCACCCACCTATAGGGTCAGGGTGAGAGTCCCAGTTCCCAGGTGACTGAGAAAGTGCAGAATGTTAATGTGATGTTAACACACACTGGCATTCAGTACAGTTGAGCATGTGTTGGGGATGGGATTGCTGGGATGGGCAGGGGGAGGCGGCCCCATCTTGGATTCTTGTAGGTTGATCAACTTCCAGGCTCCACAGCCTCCCCAGCCTCACTGTGGGGGCACTGGTCTCCTTGTCCAGCTAATGTCTAAAGGGCCCCTGTGAAGGGAGGCGTCTTGCAACCTGCAGGTTGAGCATCCGCTTTAAGGAGGCGGTGTGTGTGCAGGTGTGTGGGTCTTTTCGGGGTCTTAGAGGGCTGGCGCCGACAGCTCTTTGGGCCCAGGGCAGTTCTTTCTGTGGCTGCGGCAGCTTCCCACTCCCTGCTCCCCGCTAGGATGAGGCCGCCCCATTGTTTCTCCAGGGCAGTCTCCTTTCCGTCTGCCCCATGCCAGAGACCAAGCGCGGGCGACTGTGAACTGCGTGTGGTGCCACTGCACGCCCTCCTGGGTCCCTCGGGGCCAGTCCGCTCTCCAGGCACCGTGTGGCAGGGAAGGAGCCAAGGGCGACACTGGGTGTGAAGCGGGGCTTGAGAGCTCATCCCTGGGGATGTCAGAGCTGCTCTGAGCAGTTAGGGGGCCTGGGTGGGTCTCCTGTGCTCCCACTACTCCCAGCCCCTTCTGAGGCAGTGGCAGAGGCTTTGTGTTGTCATCCATCTCTCCAGGACTGACTATGTTCAGGGCTGGCGCCCCCCCCACCTTCCCTCCCCCCACCCAAAAAAACCCTATAAAAGCTGAGTACAATCTGGGCCAGAAGCCCAGAGTGCTGAGTGGCCAGAAGGGACACTGGAGGCAGCCCCTACACCCACTTCCCAGACACATCATACTGTGAGGAGGGGGCTCTGCTGTAAGCCTGCACACCTGAGAGGGGCACCCCTGGGAACTGCATGAATGACAGTGCCAGAGTCCCCAGGGCACGGGGGTAGAGGGTGGCTGGGTTCTGGGCCTTGGGCTAGGTGCTTCCACCTACATTATTTCCACGGTGGGGAAGTAGAGGGAATCTTTTACAGAAGCTGAAAAACCTTGGCAAGGTGCAGCACCCCACCCCGAGTCACACAGGCAGGAGAGGGGAGCCGGGATTCAGACTCCACGGCTGGGGTGGTCCTGAGAGAGAGACCTGACTGTGTCTCCCAACCGTGCTCCCCAACCCCTGGCCATGCAGCCCATGTGCCCCGGGCTCTTCCATAATCTCTCCATTGACTGCCAGAGCCACCTGGGGACTCAGACTCGTGTCGGCCCCAGAGGGAGTGGCTGGGAGGAAGAAAGTGCTCCCGGAGAACTTTGCCCCTCCTGCCTACCCCCCCACTCTGCACCCTGCATCTCCTGGCAGGGGCCCAGCCTTTCCCCTTCAGCACCGACGGTTATGCCCCACCCGGGAAAGGGGTGCAAGGTCCTTGGAATGCTTGGCAACTATCAAAGACAGAGAAGGGAGGAGAAGGGGGAAGCAAGAGGGAACCAGCAGCCTCCAGCCCTGAGAAAAGGGAAACTGAGGCACTGAAAGACTGAGCTAGACTGACCTGGATGGGTCCTGGGCCCAGGATTCCACCTAGATCAGAAACTCGACCATTTGTGGTGGTCCTGAGCTACTCAGGAGGCTGAGCAGGAGGATCGCCTGCACCCAGGAGTTCAATCAAGGCTGCAGTGGTGAGCTGTGGTGGTGCCACTGCACTCTGGCCTGGGTGACAAAGCAAGACCCTGGCTCTAAAACTGCCCTAGACCCTCTGCTATACAGCACTGCTGCCCCCTACCTGTTATTCCAGGAAGAAACCAGGTCAAAATGTCCAGCACTGGGCTAGGACAGTGGGAAGGACTTGGAGTGGAATCAGACGTGGGGAAGGCGACAGGGATGCTTAGCTGTGGTTTCTGTAATACCCAGTCACGCGAGAGCAACCTGATAGGGCAGCTGTTCTCAGTCAGGCGACTTCGCACAATGATTGTCATGGCTTGTGGGGAGGGGGTTGCTACTGGCACCCCGTGGGTAGAGGCCAGGGAGGCTTCTGAACATCCCACAGTGCACAGGACGGCCCCCAGAACAGAGTTACCCAGCTCAGGTGTCAAGAGTGCCCAGGAGAAACCTGTAATCCAGGCACAAGCAAAGCATGCCAGGTGCATGGGAGGAGTGAGGAGCGGGGTGGGAAGCGTCCAGATGCCGAAGGAGGGAGGGGTGACTGCAACTGGGTAGGCTGGAGGAGCCCAGGGGAAGGAGAGGACTTGGGGACTGTTAGGTACAAGAGAGCAAGAAGGTGAGGGGGGCCTGGCGCAGTGGCTCATGCCTGTAATCCCAGCACTTCGGGAAGCTGAGGCAAACAGATCACTTTGGGTCAGAAGTTCGAGACCAGCCTGGACACCATGGTGAAACTGTCTCTAAAAATACAAAAATTAGCTGGGCGTGGTGGTGCATGTCTGTAATCCCAACTATCGGGGAGATTGAGGCAGGAGAATCACTTGAACCCGGGATTGTGAGGGGCTGTCGGGCTGGCTCCGTCACAGAGGGGAGGAGATGGGGGGAAAGGCTGACGACTGTGCCTGCCCCCAGGGTATATTCAGGCCTGCCGGGCACTCATGATCACCGCCATCCTCCTGGGCTTCCTCGGCCTCTTGCTGGGCATAGCGGGCCTGCGCTGCACCAACATTGGGGGCCTGGAGCTCTCCAGGAAAGCCAAGCTGGCGGCCACTGCAGGGGCCTTCCACATTCTGGCCGGTAACTGGGGGAAGGTGATGGGGCGGGGGTCTGCATGGTGGTGGGGGCCAGGGGTCCCCCTCAGCCGCAGACTTCAGGCTGCTTTGTCCTCACCTCATCTCCAATTCCCGCTCCTCATGCTCACCTCCCCTGCCCTGCTGCATGGACACCTGCTCACCCCTGCCTCATCCGTACTCCCCAAATCTCCTGGCAGCAAATCAGCCCAACGGCACTGTTTCTTGAGCTCCCAGTAGGAGCCAGCCACGGCCAGGTGTGGGAGGGACTTCAAAGATGACAGTGAGCGGCTGCCTCTGGGAGCTTACATCCTGGCTGGGGAGCAGAGTTAGGGTGCACACTGCGGCACACACACAGTGCACAACCACAGTGCCATACCATGGGGCATGGTGGCTCATGCCTGTAATCCCAGCACTTTGAAAGGCCGAGGCAGGGCCGGGTGCAGTAGCTCACACCTGTAATCCCAGCACTTTGGGAGGCTGAGGTGGGCGGATCACCTGAGGTCAGGAGTTCGAAACCAGCCTGGCCAACATGGTGAAACCCTGTCTCTACTAAAAATACAAAAAACAAAACAAAACAAAAAGCCAGGCATGGTGGCAGGCACCTGTAGTCCCACCGACTTGAAGGCTGAGGCAGGAGAATCACTTGAACCTGGGAGGTGGAGGTTGCAGTAAGCCAAGATTGTGCCACTGCACTCCAGCCTGGGTAAAAGAGCGAGACTATCAAAAAAAAAAAAAAAAAAAAAGGCCAAGGCAGGAGAACTGGCTTGAGCCCAGGAGTTCCAGACTAGCCTGGGCAGCATAGTGAGACCCCATCTCAGCAAAAAACAAAAACAATGCCATCTGGCCACTGCTTTTCAATTTGCACCCATTGCCTCACAATAAACCTTCGAGGTAGGGTGGGTATTTCTGCTTTCCAGAGGTAAAACAGGCCCAGAAAGGTCAGGAGGCTTGCACAAGCCCCTAGTGAGTTAGGGTAGTGCTAGCCTGGGGGTCTTCCTGGCTTCAGGAAAGGACGACCCTGGGCTCCCAGGGCTCAGCTGGGCTTTCAAGGGTGGGCGGGATTTGGATGAGGCTCTATCTGGGTGAGGAAATGATGGGATGAAGGCCCTAGAGGTGAGCATGAACTAGTCAGGTCTGGGATCAAAGAGAGAAGAGGCAGGAGGAGGTCGAGGTAGTGGGAGATGAGCTGGGTGGGCTGGAGTTGGGGGCCTAAGGGCTACCCTGAGAAGTTGACCCCAGGAAGGAGGAAGGCTTATAAACCGGGGTAGGCAGAAAGGAATTGAGTGAAATTGCTGCTCTTGGACTTGGTGTCCCCGTCCTACTCTGGGCAGCCCCTGCCTGCCTCTCCCCCTAAGCCCCCTCCCCCACTATCCCTCCCCCTGGACTGGGGTCGTCCTCCGGTCCCCAGGTATCTGCGGGATGGTGGCCATCTCCTGGTACGCCTTCAACATCACCCGGGACTTCTTCGACCCCTTGTATCCCGGAACCAAGTGAGTGAGGGGACTCCCGCCCCGCCCTCGGGACAGCGGATGGGACTCAGCCCTGCCCCCCGGCTGGTGCCTCACTGGTCCCCTGCCCATGCGCCGCCTTTGTGCGCAGGTACGAACTGGGCCCCGCACTCTACTTGGGCTGGAGCGCCTCCCTGATCTCCATCCTGGGTGGCCTCTGCCTCTGCTCCACCTGCTGCTGCGGCTCTCACGAGGACCCCGCCGCCAGGTGAGCGGGGAGAGGCACAGGCTGGGACCGGGCAGGATTGGGGAGAGGAGGGCCGCGCCCCGGCTCTGACCCGGACCTCTCGCCGCAGCGCCCGGCTGCCCTACCAGGCTCCAGTGTCCGTGATGCCCGTTGCCACCTCGGACCAAGAAGGCGACAGCAGCTTTGGCAAATACGGCAGGAACGCCTACGTGTAGCAGCTCTGGCCCGTAGGCCCCACTGGCCTTCCCAGTGCCCCAAGGAGAGGGGTCCTGGCCTGGGCCCATTCCCCTGTAGTAACCTCAGGGGCCGGCCACGCCCTGCTCCCGGAGCCCCGCCTTGGCCACGCCCCCGTGTCTTGCACTCCCGCGGCCCCGGCAGGTCAAGAACTGCTCTTGGGAAGTCGCATATCCCCCCCCCGAGACTGGATCCCTCATCTTCTGACCTTGGGTTCTGGGCTGTGAAGGGGACGGAGGTGTCCCCGCACGTTTGTATTCTGTATAAATACATGCATTAATAAATGTATATTGTGACCGTTCAGGGCTTGAAGATGTCAGAAGCGGCCGGCCAAGCAAGGGGTGGGGGGTGGTGCCAGGGGTCGGTTCAGGTCTGGGACCCCAGACTGTCACCTGTCCACCACTTTGGGGCTGTGTCGTACATCAAAATAGAAGGGGGTTGCAAGTGACTTCGCGAGTGGCACATAATTGCTGGTAAGAGTCACCAAGGAGCAGATCCCAGAAGCCCCCGCTCCAGGAAACTGGAAATAGCAGAGCTGACCCCTGGCCAGCCTGAGATCCCAAGCTGCTCCTTTCACTCTCCTCGCTGGTCTAGTGCAGAGCCGCGTGCCCTGGGCCTGAGCGTGGATGGTTATCAGGAGTGATAAGCCTTTTGAAATTCTGTTTAACATTAACTTGGGACTGGTGCAGACTTTCTCTGGGGAAGGTACAGTACCTTCCAGAAGAGCCTCTGGAGGTCTGTCGGCAGGGGTGTGTGGGCACCTCCGTGGTGTCCACCTCAGACACGGTTCTGGGTTGTGGGTGGGTTTGCTGCAGGCCCACTGGGTGCTGAGCACAGAGCAGCACCCACTTAAGACCGGACAGTGAGACCAGGTGTGGTGGCTCATGCCTATAATCCCAGCACTTTGGAAGGCTGAGGCCGGGGGTGGCAGGGGAGGATCACTTAAGGTCAGGAGTTCAAGACTACCCTGGCCAACGTGGTGAAACCCCTTCTCTACTTAAAAAAAAAAAAAAAATACAAAAATTAGCCGGGCATGGTGGTGCATGCCTGTAGTCCCAGCTACTCAGGAGGCCAAGGCAGGAGGGTCGCTTGACCCCAGGAGTTGGAGGCTGCAGTGAGCTGTGATTGAACCACCGCACTCCAGCCTGGGCGACAGAGGGAGATCCTGTCTCATAAAAAAGAAAAAGAGAAAACAAAAGGACAATGAGGCTGCTAGGAAAAAGTCTGGTATCCAGTGAAGTGGGGAATGGAGCCCTATCCCAGCACTATCTTCTGCTGTGCGAACAAGTGGCCAGTCCCTTGGGGAGTCCTGGATTCTGACCGCAGCCCCCTCCCCTTTCTCCTTCATCTCATTCATTCGCCCTCACCAACTCTCCCCTGGAATGGAGAGATCTGCATCCGCATTCCACCTGTGCCTCTCCCCTGCGCTTCAGAGGTACATGTATGTTCCTACTACATGGGCTCCAGATACATCGAATTCATCACTTTCCACAGAGCTGCAGTCCCCATCGTCCCTGTCACCAGCATGGCCGACATCTCTATCTGCAGATGGACAACCTCTCCCTCCCCTCTGCTCCACCATTTCCTCTCCTCTGTTCATTGCCAAATCCTCCTGACTCTCCTTCTATAGTGTTTTTCACACCCATCTACTTCTCTCCCTTCTCCACTGCCTGGTCCTGGGGCAGGCCCTCATCCTCTCCTGCCCACCCACTACAGGGTTTCCCCAACTGGGCGTCTCAAGCACGGTCTTCCTAATGCACTCCTGGAGAACCACTGACCACCCCGCCTTGGCAGCTCCTGGCCCCGCTAGAAGAAAGCCCCAGTTATGACCTTGACATGCCGCCTGGCCCTAGCCCACCTTTCCATCCCCATTGCTCCCTTTCCTCTGGATAAACCATGCTCCACCATCACACCAGGCTGCTTCCTGGGCCCTGGACACACCTACACATTGGGGCTGGGATCCATTTGGCTGGGCTCCAGCCAGATACACTGGTGCTTTTTTTTCTTTTTTTTTTTTTTGAGACGGAGTCTCGCTCTGTCACCCAGGCTGGAGTGGTGCAGTGGCGCAATGTTGGCTCACTGCAACCTCTGCCTCCTAGGTTCAAGCGATTCTCCTGCCTCATCCTCCCGAGTAGCTGGGACTACAGGCGTAGTCCCATGCCCAGCTAAGTTGTTTGTATTTTTAGTAGAGACGGGGTTTCACCATGTTGGCCAGGCTGGTCTCGAACCCCTGACCTCAGGTAATCTACCTGCCTCAGCCTCCCAAAATGCTGGGCTTACAGGCATGAGCCACCGCACCTGGCCAGAAGCCCTGGTACCTTTTGAGCTGCTTCCTACATAAAGGGTCCTGTGGGCAACAAGTCTGTGACCATCTGCAATCCTCTCCCACCACACCGTCTGCAGAAAGTGTGCGGATGTCCCACTGGCCAAGGCCAGAGTCAACGTGGAAGGGACTGTACATGTGCTCAGTACTGGGAAGCCTGTCTCATGGGGGTCTCTAGTGCAGTAACTCACCACGGAGAAGTCAGGGGCCATGTGACTTGCTTTATTAGCACACTGACAAGTGCCTTTAAAGGTGTCTTTTACAGGGCAGGCTCAGTGACTCATGCCTATAATCCCAGCACTTTGGGAGGCCAAGGCGGGAGAATCCCTTAAGCCTAGGAATTCAAGACCAACCTGGGCAACATAGTGAGACCCCCATCTCTACTAAAAAAATTAAAATTAGGGCCAGGCACAGTGGCTCACACCTGTAATCCCAGCACTCTGGGAGGCTAAGGTGGGTGGATCACCTGAGGTCAGGAGTTCAAGAGTAGCCTGGCCAACATGGCAAAACCCCAATTCTACTAAAAATACAAAAATTAGCCAGGAGTGGTGGCACACACCTATAATCCCAGCTACTTGGGAGGCTGAGGCAGGAGAATTGCCCGAACTTGGGAAATGGAGATTGCAGTGAGCTGAGATCATGCCACTGCACTCCAGCCTGGGCGACAGAGCGAGACTCCGTCTCAAAAAACAATCAAACGAAAAGTGTCTTACAATCCTGAAAGGCCATGAGAGTGCTCCCTACAGTGAAGGAAGACAAAAGTCAATTACAACTGCTGACGCATCCAGGTGCTTCCAAAAGTCTCCGGTGTGCCACCCCCACATCTACCTCCTTTTCCCAACATCAGCCTGCCTCTTCTCACTCCTTCCCCCTTCAGGGAAAGCAACCTGTGACCAGTTTCACAACTGAGCATTTAAGTGTGTGCCTTAATATGGTCACTAGGTTGAGTTTTGATTTCTTCCTGGGTGGTCACGTGACTACAAAGGGTTATGGAGACATTTGCCCTTTTTCAGAACACATACTGAGCTGCTTTCCTGCTAGAAGCAGGAGTGGGCCTGTGCCCTCAAAGAACCCACAGCCTAGGAGCAAACACAAATGTAAACCACTGGCCGGGTGCAGTGGCTCACACCTGTAAACCCAGCACTTTGGGAGGCCGGGGCAGGTGGATCACCTGAGGTCAGGAGTTCGAGACCAGCCTGGCCAACATAATGAAACCCCATCTCTACCAAAAATACAAAATTAGCCGGGCGTGGTGGCGGGTGCCTTTAATCTCAGCTACTCAGGAGGCTGAGGCAGGAGAATTGCTTGAACCAGGGAGGCAGAGGTTGCAGTGAGCTGAGATCACGCCACTGCGCTCCAGCTTGGGTGACAGATGAGACTCTGTCTCAAAAAATAATAATAATAATAAATGACCGGGCGCCACGGCTCACGCCTGTAATCCCAGCACTTTGGGAGGCCGAGGCGGGCGGATCACGAGGTCAGGAGATCGAGACCATCCTGGCTAACACAGTGAAACCCTGTCTCTACTAAAAACACACACACACAAAAAAAAATTAGCCCGGGCGCCTGTAGTCCCAGCTACTCGGGAGGCTGAGGCAGGAGAATGGCGTGAACCCAGGAGGCGGAGCTTGCAGTGAGTGGAGATCGCGCCACTGCACCCCAGCCTGGGAGACAGCGAGACTCTGTCTCAAAAAAACAAACAAAAAATAAATAAATAAAAAACATCTGAAAACTAGTGGGGCATGGGGCGGGCACCTGTAATTCTAGCTACTCAGGAGGCTGAGGCACAAGAAATCACTCGAACCTGGGAGGTGGAGGTTGCAGTGAGCCGAGATCACGCCACTGCACTCCAGCCTGAGCGACAGAGGGATACTCTGTCTCAAAAAAAGAAACGTAAGCTGCTGACTACCTGACAATTGGGCCAGGTGCTGGGGTTAGTCCCCAGGGAGCTGGCTGTGAAAAACTCAACAATATGCTTTAGGTCTTGGCAGTATCATCAAGGGCTCTCATTTGCTGCGTACTCACTGGAAGCCAGGCCTCGGGCTAGATGTGCATTGAATCCTTGCAATAGCTGCAGCATGGCTCCAACAGAATCAGAGAGGTGAAGTGACCTGTCCAAGCTACACCACTAGTAAGCACTCAAACCAGGATTTCTCCAAGACTGAAGACACAACTGTCCTGCTTCCCAGAATTCTTGGCTCTCCTAACTCACATCAATTACAATCAAGATCTTTTTTTGTTTTTTTTTTTCTGAGACAGGGTCTCGCTCTGTTGCCCAGGTTGGACTGCAGTAAAGTGATCACTGCCCACCGCAGCCTCAACCTCCCAGGCCCAAGCCATCCTCCCCTGAGTAGCTGGGACTATAGGCATACACCACCATACCTGGCTAATTTTTAAATTTTTTTGTAGAGACGGGGTCTCTGTATGTTGCCCAAGCTGGTCTTGAACCACTGGGATCAAGAGACCCTCCTGCCTCAGCCTCCCAAAGTGTTGGGATTACAGGCCTGAGCCACAGCACCCAGCCTCATTGAGGTTCTTAGGAGTAACCGCCCCAGTGTCCAGACTTCCAAATCCTGGCACCAACCTCTTCCTCCTCTGTGCTCCCAGGAAAGGGTGGTGCTGCCCCTATCTCATGACACTAGGTTTACCTTCTAGAACCTTCTAGCATAGTACAGATTTCCCAAAGACCAGGTGTCTCCCAAGGTAGGAAAAAATCTTCCCTCACGAAGGAAGCTGGCAAAATTGTTTCAGGCTCTCCTTGGGGAATTATGGTTTTCTTTCTTTCTTTTTTCTTTTCTTTTTTTTTTTTGAGAGGGAGTCTCGCGCTGTCGCCCAGGCTGGAGTGCAGTGGCCAGATCTCAGCTCACTGCAAGCTCCGCCTCCCGGGTTTGCGCCATTCTCCTGCCTCAGCCTCCCGAGTAGCTGGGACTACAGGTGTGCGCCACCTCGCCCGGCTAGTTTTTTGTATTTTTTAGTAGAG